CGAGTGGCAGCAAAATCAAAACACTGCATCAAGCGCCTGCATTTCCAGCACCGGTAACCATTCATCCTGCAGTTTTAATCCCTACTTGCATCCCTGCAACATTTTCAGATCTAATAGAAATAAAATGAGTGTTTTTTCCTTATTTCTATCTGGCGCTATGGTTTCATTCTGTTATAGAATCGTAGAGCAAAGAGGCAACACTGAGCACATGTTTGCTGTCTGAGCTTTGTTTCCAGCAGAAACGTGCAGACGGCCCTCTCTGCTCCTGCTGCTGTCGTTCTCCTCACACTCTCCTTCCACTAACACCTGTGTGCAGGTTGTCGTCCGTGGGGGCGGGGTTACCCGCTGTGACTCCCACAGAGCCTCCCGACTGGTCCCTGCAGACACCGGCTCCATAAACAAGCTGCCGACACTTGATGATGCAACTGATGCGCGTGTATGTGTGCGTGTGTTTGACTGTTTGATCACCTGATGAAGGACCCTGGCTTCAGTCTAAGGGACCAATCAGCTGCCAGAAGATAAAATGATGTCACGCCCGTTCATTAACACAGGCCCGTGTACCTGTCTGTGCCTGTGGCAGCTCCATGGACGGCCGTTTCTTCTTACTGTTAGAACGACAGATTATAGATGCTGCACTCGTTGCCATGTTGTTAGCCAATGAGATCATTGTTTCCACAGTCAGCTCCGCCCCTCTTCAAGTCCCGTTTGAAAATCACCAAGATGGCAGCGTTGAAGACGCTGAGGCTTCGGGCAGGACCCAGATCTGACTGCTAGTTCCTGTTAGCGCACGCTCGTTCTGAGTTCACGTTTTAAAGAGTGGACCAATGATGTGGCTCCACTCAGCGTGAGACCAGTAAAGGAAGAAAAACCAGTAAACTATGATGGAGCTGCTGCTGAACTCAGAGAGACTGCAGAGTTTACTGCAACGTAACTCTGGCTCTCAGACAGTCATTTTAACAACACACGCACACAGACACACACACACAAACACACACACAATAACAAAAACAGTGTGTTCTCCCAGGATGCGCTGTGTGTGTGTGTGTGTGTGTGTGTGTGTGCGTGTGTGTGTGTGTGTCAGCAGGTTGATGTGGCTGGCTCAGCACACTGTGGTATTTACTAATTACAGGGGAGCTGAGGTCACGGCCTCTGTAATTACAAGCTCTAATTGGCCAGCCTGCGGGCTGCCGACCAATCAGCTGCCATCAGGAAATTACTACCCTGGATAATAGTGTGTGTGTTTGTCAGTGGAGCTGTATTGTTTTATCAGAGTTTCCCACTCTGTGTGTGTGTGTGTGTTTTAGCCACAAACTGAAATATCTCCACAGCTGGTGGTTGGGGGCACGGGGGGTGGTGCTCCTCAGAGGAGGGATCCTGTGCTGCTCAGTCTGATACCTTTAATCTAACATGTTTAAAGCTTTACAGCTGTGTGCGGAGTTTAAAGTGTGCGCTCACAAACACGCCCCATCACAGACAGACGCTCGTCCTTTTATTTTTGGCATCGTCAGCCTTCATGTGAGCACAGCAGAGACACAGAGTGAGGGAGGGGACTCACACCAGCCTGACCTTTGGTGGCACCTGTTCAATCAGCTGTAGCAGCACCTGAGCCTGTTTGAATTCTGTTCACTGTAGGTGATTAGGTGATCATCATCACTGATGATCTGAGTGGACCGTGAGCTCCTCTGTACACCAGCCATGCATCAGCTGAAGCTCAGACCTGTCAGCAGGACAGAGCTCAGAGCTGAACCAGGACTCGGTTTATCCCGCAGACTGACCACTTTTATTTCATGCAAAGTTTTGTTTAGTTGAAATCGCGGGACGATAGCTGTGATGTAAGAATGATCCGCTTTGTTTTTTTCCAGATTTGTCAGAGAAGAAAAGCGACCTGCGCGTGTGCGACACCGGGACGTGTCGCTTTGGAGGAACCTGCCGCGAGAATGGCGCCGACATCAAGTGTGTCTGTCAGTTCCACGTGAGTTACACACACTCACTTCTACACCTTGGCGCCCCCTACAGGCTGCAGTGCTCGGGTGTAGTCTCCACAGTGCTATTAAATGCTTGCTGAATGAAACCAATCACAGCTTTTTTATGTGTGTGTTACAGCTGCTGTTACAGATGTGATTAAAGCTTCTGAAACGTGATCATTGTGAGCTGGTCACACAGCAGGGTGCACATTGTTTACACATGCTAACTGTGCTGTCTTTGGCATTGTGCACAGATTTTTGAATTTGGTTAGAGCGCAGCGCACTGACCAATCAGCAGCGAGCCTGCCTGCATCGTGAATGAGGTGTTACCTTCAGGCTCCCTCAGAGTCCTGTGTGTGTCTGAGTGCTGTGATAAAGTTACTTTGTGTTTCAGTGCAATAAGAAGTACGTCCCCGTGTGCGGCTCCAACGGAGACACGTACCAGAACGAGTGTTTCCTGAGGAGAGCGGCGTGCAAGAAACAAAGAGCCATCAACATCATGTCAGAGGGGCCCTGTTACCACGGTAACTCACCCTCTTCTTTAGCCTATAATAAGCACACTTCAGGTTTCAGACGCTCGCTGTGATTGATGTGTGAACAGCTGGACACAGTCACAGGTAACCCCAGAGTCTAAATCAGAGTCCTGTAATCTGATAAAAAAATATTAAACTTGTTGCTGCCTTTCATAGTGTGTAACTTGAAGGCCCTGAGTACTCTGAGTACTTTCTCCCACACTGGAAACACTGGGATGATCACATTATTTGAACATTACCTAATAAGACTGATTCAGCACAGACAGTTATGTTAAACTTTCCTAGCAGTCCTTCACAAACAGGGAACAGTCTGTCTATTCTCTCCATCTGTCAGCTGCTGCTGGCTCTTCCTCCTCCTCTTCCTCACACACTGCTGAGTTTGTCCTGGTGGATCATCAGGGCTGCAAAGCCTCACAGATGATGTGCAGCAGTGGGTCCCTCAGTCTGTCCTCACTCTGGACACTTGCAGTCGTCACACATGGAAATCAAATGTGTGATAAGCTGCAGGATTCAAACACAAGTGTAACTTATAAACACATGTTCATACTTTTATTCCACAATCAGAGAGAAAGAAACAGAGAGAGAGTGCAGGACAGACAGACAGGTGACAGTCTCAGCTGTATACACTGCTACAAACAGGAGGATTTAGTGTTTGTGTTATTACGAGTGTAAACAAGAGTATCAGATGGTGCAGTGGACACATGTGTGACTGCTGTGATTAAAGCATCTTTCTTTCAGGGCAGAGGCAGCAGTGAGTCAGCTCCAATAGACTTCCATGTTAAAATGTTTAAAGGCTTAATGTTAGCTTTCTTAGGGGCGTGGCCTCTTTGACTGACAGATGCATGGTGACACACCATGACCGTGTTTGTGCTGTTGGAGCCCTTTAGAGCACTTTTAATAACATCATGTGGCCAATAATATGGCTGCTGTGAGGTTACCGTAGTAACAGAGCCTCCAGGAAGGCGGAGCTCCAGGTTTGGTGAAATTCAAGGATTTTAATTGGATGTTACTGAGCACTGATTGGCAGCCATCTGTGTGATGCTCGTCTTCATAAAGAAGGATTATTTTGAACTGTTAATCATGCAAAGCTACTCAATGAGTCCAGAAGTATGGGCTCCTCACACACACAGAGCCTGTTATGACACCTCTGCAGCAGCAGGTTAAAGTTAACTTCCTGTAGCCAGTGACACTAACCTCAGAACGTGTGTGTGTCTGTGTGTGTGTCTCAGATGCTGGATCAGGATCTGGAGATGGAGGTAAACAGCTGCATGTTTGCTCTGGTTTGTTTCTGAGTGTTTTTAAGTCTCTGAGTTGAAGCAGACGAGCTGAGCGGCGTTTGTGTGTCTGCAGACGACGAAGGCTCCGGCCGCGGGAAAAAGACCTCCAAATGTGGGAGCTGCAAGTTTGGAGCCGAGTGTGATGAAGACTCTGAGGATATGATGTGAGCACGCACACACACACACACACACACACACACTCAGTGTTAGGAGTGAGCCTGAACGAGCGTGTGTGTGTGTGTATCCAGCTGCATGTGTAACATCGTGTGCAACGGCCACAACGACAACCCGGTGTGCGGCAGCGACGGCGTCACCTACGACACGCCCTGTCACGTCCGGGAGGTGTCCTGCCTCAAACAGCTCAAGATCGACATCAAGCACGTCGGACGCTGCCATGGTAACAGCATCACAGCAAACACTCCTTCATCCATCACCTTCACCTTCATCATCATCATCTACTCACAGCAGGAGAGAGAGGAGGAAATATGGAGGAGGGGGGTGGAGCTAAGGGGAGGAAGATGAGAGTCAGGAGGGAAAACGTCTCAGTTCATTTATTTTGAATGATGATCTCAACACACACACACCCGCACTACACACTAACTACACACTCACTACACATGCAACACACACGCACAACACACACACACACACGCACACACACACACGCACACACACACACACGCACACACACACACACACGCACGCACACACGCGCACACACACACACACGCACACACACACACACACACACACACACACACACACACACACACACACACACACACACACACTCACTCACACACACACACACACACACACACGACGCACACTGACGCACACACACGCACACACGACGCACACACAGACCCACACACTCCCACACTCACACACTACTCACACACACACACACACACACTGATTATCGCGGCTGGCTGAACAAACAGCTGGTCTCATTTTAATGCCACGACCTCCTGCTCCACATTTTCTCTTCTTTGTTCTGTCCTCCTCCACCTCCTCCTCCTCCTGCTCCTCCTCCTCCTCCTGCTCCTGCTCCTCCTCCTGCTCTCCTGCTCCTCCTCCTCCTCCACCTCCTCCTCCTGCTCCTCCTCCTGCTCCTCCTCCTGCTCCTCCTCTTCTTCTCCTCCCCTTCTCTCATTTCCATCTGTCCTTCTTTTTCTTTGTACATGTACAATTTTATTCTATTCTTCACTTCTTCTTTATTTATTTTAACTTTGTTTCTTCTTCGTCTTTTATCATCTTCTTCATTTTCTTCCCTTTTTGCCTTTTATTCTCTCTCCTCCTTTCCTCCCCTTCTTTCTTCAGATTTTTTACTTTCTTCTTCTCCTTTGCAGATTATTTCTTCTTCACTGCTAATTTTCTTCCTCCTCTTTTCTATTTTTTCTTCTTCTTATTTTTTATTCACCTTTTGTTTTTTTTGCTGCTCATCATCTTCCTTGTTTCTCTTCTTTCCTTCCTGTTAAACGCTCACTTGCTTCATCTTCCTTGTTTTCTTTGTCTTCTTCTTTCTTCACTGATTCTTCTTCTTCTCCTTCTTTGACTTGGACTTCCTTCTGTTTTCTCGGCTCGAGTTTGAAATAAGCGGAGTTGTTAAAAACATCTGACACGCCGACTCTAGAAGCCTGCGTTCCAGTTATTATGACTCTTAATGAATTTTTGGATTTTAAGTAAATAATTCAGATGTTCATTTTAATAAAATGAGGTGGTCTGTCCACACAGGTGTGGTTTTATGAGTTTAACCAGCAGATCTCAGAATCGTCCAAAAACCCAGCGTCACAGTTTCAAATGGTACGATAAAAAAAAACGTGTTTGATTAAAACTCGAGTGCTGAAGAATAAAAGCTCCCGTGATGCTGTTCAGTAAAGAAACTGCATGGTGCGACAAAACACATCAGATACACATGAGCCAGGTCATGATAAGCATGAGCGTAATCTTTGTGTAGCTTTTTAAATATGAACGCATGAACATTAAAGTTGTGAACGGTTCAGAACCAACGAGACGTCTCTGCAGCGCTGACGGAGCTTCAGCCTGAGGCCAGAAAAGTGTGTGAGGGAATCAGTACACGTTTATATATCTTTGTGGGGACCAGACATTAGAACGCTACCAACAGTCCTTATGGGGACAAAACGCCCGATGAGTTTGTTTTTGAGACTCATCATGTGGTTTTAGTGTCAGGGTTACAGATGGGTTAGGGTCAGGCTGAGGGTCAGCATTATGTTAATAAGATGCCCTCACTAAGATATGGAAACCAGTGTGTGTGTGTGTGTGCGTGTGTGTGTATATGTGTGTGTGTGTGTGTGTGGTTGTTTGTCTGTGCCTGTGGTGTACCCACAATGCAATGCGCGTAAGTCACGTGGTCTGTCGATCTCTATTAACACTAACTAACTTCAATCCAAATCAGCTGTTAGTTTAAAGTCACCACATGCAGCTGCGGGGATGATGGTGTTTGTGTGCCGTGTTGTGTTTGCTGCATTTTTAACGTGCTGTTGTGCAGCTGCTAACTCGGTCAGGTCCCTGTTGTACGAGCTTTGATGTCAGCGGGACTAAAATGAGCATCAATCATTCATAAAGTCACATGTTTGTAAGGAAAGACCTTCAGACCTCTGTGAGGAACAGCAGGTGGGGGGACGGACTCGAGCCTCCAGGTGAGCTTCAGTTTGTGCTTCAGCTCGTAAACAGGAACCATTAAAGAGTCGCGCTGACTTCCACAGAGGTGCAGGTTGGTGTTAGGACGCCTCCAGCCGTCAGTTTGATGTTCCTCATCACAGAGTTTGTCCTGACCGAGTGAGACGCAGCGCTGCGGGAGCTGAGGACAGACTAACCCTCAGCCTGTCGCTGGCTTCATCCTCTCCACACCAACAGCAGTAAAACACACCTCACTTACTTCAAAGGAAACACTCTCCTATAACTCTGAGGTGAAGCCGGCGTCTCCAGGACAACCGCTAAAGGTCGACCTGTGGGCTGATCACGAGTTAAACCGCCCTCCACCCTCCGTCCCCGCCTCACTGCTCTCGTTAACTTCCTGCTGTCGGAGCGAGTCAGGAGCTCATAAAAGACGAGCTGAGGCGGGGTGGTGCGACGTGCTGGGAGAACATCAGTGACGGCGCTCAGGTTTAAAAAAAACCTTCAGAGCTTCTAAAAGTAGAACTCAGAGATTTTTGATTCTTTAGATCCTAAAAAAGTTCAGAGACTTATTTCAGCTCCAGGTTTCTACTTTTAGAGGAGAAAAGTTCAAAATGAGTTCGTGTCTGCACACAAACACCAGCTCACTGATCTGATCAAACATGTTTTAGATGGGAGGAACACATAGGGACTATTTTCAGCGGCGGATTAATCCACTATATGTCCATCACCCGTCCATCATCATCCACCCTCTGCTTATCTGAAGTCACGGTGGCACAGCTGGACAGCAGAGCCTCGAAGTCTCAGCAGGTTCTGGATCGACCCTGGGACCTCCTCCTAGCTCGGGTGCCGAGAACACCTCCAAAAGGAGGCACGCAGGAGGCGTTGTATTCAGATCAACATAAACTAGAAGTTCCCTCCAGATGTGCAAGCTGCTCCTCCTCCTCCAGGTGAGGGCTTGTCTCAGTATCACCTGCTGCCGCTGCACCAAACCACCGCTCCACCTGCTGCTGCACCGTTTTCCAGCTGTTACAGCAACACTGCATCTCGTGAATGAGCTGATGAATCGTTTACTCTGTGATGATCTTTCAAAACTGCTGGTGTTGCCCTCAAATGTCAAACACACAAAAGCAGCGATGTTTTCCCACTGAGTGAAGGATCTGCACTGTAACTCACACAGAACTGAAATGTGTGCAAAATCAAGAAAATGCAGAAAAACACCCTGAAACTTCCACAGCACTCCATCCTCACTTCCTCGGAAGCGTTTTACGAGCCACAGCTCGTTATCGTTCGTCAGGAGACGAATCAGCTGCTCGTTTCTCACGTTGACATGAACCTCCTGCACCTCCTGACAGCACTGCACACAACAAGGAGGTCAGCAGGTCTGACCATGGTCCATCCACCTCACCACTCCAGGACCGGACCTGCCTCAGTCTCGCCTTCACTGAGCTGTGGAGTCCACCACAGGAACGGTGTTGGTCTCTTCAGCTAAATTATCCAATCATAACACCTGTGTGACGGGTTAATGTTTACATTTGCATTATTAGGGGCGTGGCCACGCTGACAGGTGTGAGCACAACAGCCTCTGTCAGCGTCAGCTGGTGATGGCTGATAAGTTAAACCACAGTTCACAAACCAACCACGGTGGTTTGTCCATCTTCTATTTACAGTCTGTGGCCTACCCGCTGTCTGGAGGCCAGATTTGACGATCTGCTCCATCACTGAGCCTCGCCCTGCTCCACCCTGTAATTAACCCTGAAATAGAACCTGGTTAAAGTGAGGAGCTGGTGTCTCACACACACACACACACACACACACACATCCACACACACACACACACACACACACACACACACACACACACACACACAGGAGAGCAACATCGCTGCAGCTTCAGCAGGTGAAACATCTGTTCAGCATCATCACAGCTCAGGTGTACTACAGGTACTGACACACCGACGGAAACACAAATACGAGAAAGGCTGGGTCGCACTGCTTCGACCTCTGACCCTCCACAGAGCCCCTCAAGTGTAAGCAGGCTGTGAGCGAGCTCACCTGGGCAGTCTTCGGCCCTCCCGGGCCCGCAGTCCACACCGCTGCGGTGGAACGAGCTCCGGACGGCGGGGAGAACCAGCAGCACCAGCAGGCAGCAGAAGCAGGAGACCCGGAGCTCTGGAGCCATGATGGAGGCCGGGGGGGGGGGGGGGGATAACGGGGGAGGCTGGTGTGCGCAGGGAGGTGGATGAACACAAAGAGACACAAACTGGAGTAAAAGAATCTGTCGTGTTTTTCTGGGTCCTCCTTCACTAAGTCCTCACAGCACAAATCCACGCAGCGGGTTCTGATCCACGCACAGCTCACAGATTCCGTCCATGTGCTCCTCACCTCGGCTCTCAGAAATACGGAGCAGGGCTGCAGCTCGATCCCGGGATAACAAAGCCGAGCAGGGCCCGGGGCTTCACAGCCGACCCCCACACCTCCTCCACCCCTACAGCCCGGACTCTGCCTCCATCCCCCAGCCCCGCTGCCTCGCACTCAAACCGGCGGGGAGAGCCGCGGACACACGAATCCAGGTAGAAGTGCCAGCGGCCTCTGAGCAGCATCCAGGCCGGGGCGCAGAGAGGGTGGAGCGTGGACGGATGAGGGTGGTTCGGCGGCTCGATCGGTCGCGACTTTTTTTGTCCTCCTGGTCTTTCTCCACGGAATCACACATTAACAAAGGCCTGCGTCACGTGACCTGCAGGAGACCACTCCCACTCACCTCTCTTCACACACACACCACACACCACACACACACACACACAACACACACACACAGAAAGGTATCCCTGCATGCGTGTGCAGCTGACCTGTATGTCTATCCGAACAATAAGAATATCGCGTCGTTGCC